TATCAATGAGGTATAAGTTGTATTGAAGCCAATATGTAGACATAATCATACTTTGTTTACAATACCGTATGGTAAAAACCTGTCCCTTTTCACAATGGCCATGCTATTTTTAAAGTCAGTTTATTCCGTAGTGACCAAACCTTTTAAGGAGAACATTGCCTTTTTTATTTGAGGGTGATGGAGATAATTTTGGTGTTAAGTTCTTGTATTCACCCCTGAGCCCATCCTCAATAATCTCCGGGGTATACGTTACGATCACTCACCACTATACCCTGGATGCATCCATGGCTTGGCCAGATGATTTTATTACCTCCCTTTGCTGGCTACGCTGGGAAGTTGAGCGAACCAATCACAACTCACTTTCGCTTCTTAAATTATCTAACCTATTAGTGGATTGCCGGTGTCGGAATTAGCAACAGAGGTGCGATGTTCTTTGACTCGAGGTGTTGATGGGTCGGGATGTTTCACCTATGTAGCATTGTCCACAATCACAGTCTATTTTGTAAATAACACATTTCGGGTTGTTGTTGTTGACGGTGGGTTGTTTTCTTCCGTTGGCATGGAGGAGGTTGTTGAGGCTGGAGGACGCTGAGAAGGTAGTGTCTATTCCTGCCTGTTGTTTCAGGAGTCGGCTGATTTGGTGTGATGGTTTACCAATGTAGGGAATGGATATCTTGATGGGGGCTGGAATCTGTTGCTAATTCCGACACCAAATCAGCTATCTCTGACCACATCAAAGCCAACCCCAATCATCAAATAGAGTGGTCCGACATCACCATTCTCGCCAACAACCAAACGGACTTCACTAAACGCAAGCTCACAGAAGCCATTCACATCAAACGCCACAAGCCTACCATCAACCGTGACCAAGGATACTTCATTCCATCTGCACAATTGATGCAGAGGTACTCTGAAAGAGGTAGGAGGAGATCTTTCACATATATTTTTAAAGTTTCAGATCTGTCAATTTGTCTGTATGATTTCCCCAAAAATCTGAGTGGCACTGCAAACAAACCTTGGCAACTACGACCGCTATCTTTGTTGACACTGGCAAGCTCGGATGTAACCGCGGCTTAGCTAATTGGCTACTGCCAGAATGCGGAGCCAGCAAAGGGAGGTAATATAATTATCGTGCCAAGCTGTGGATGCATCCAGGGTATAGTGGGGAGTGATCGTATAATATATACCCTGGAGATTATCGAAGATGCCCTGAGTCTGAAGAACGCTTAAATTTAAGCCTTTGTGGTGATCGGAGCTGTCAGCCGGAAGTTGGGGGACCCGACGGAAAGTGCCGGAGACAGCCGATCGCCACAGCGAGTTCGTGGAAGCCATTTTGTAAGTATGAATTGCCTGTTTCAAGGGTCTACCCTAAAACCGTAGATTTGGGCGCTAATACTTGCACGGCTTACTCCACGGTGATCTAGTATCGTAGTGGAGACGGTGATCACTACAGTGGCGCTGTGAACAAAGATTCCGAGCGAGGAATCCCATTTTCTCGCTCGGGGCATCGCTCGCCACTGTTCTGTTTTCCCGCGCTTGGGAGACCACATGGTCTTCCACCCAAAGTGGGTGTAACAGAATTTCAGTGGGTTATAGTATAGTTATAAGGGTTTTCTAGTATCTCCGTACCTATATCGGAGAGGGGAGGAATAGTTACCGTTCTAAAAGTAGCTTAGTGGAGCTTTTTAGGGTAGTTTAGGTTACCCGCGTGGGGAGCACTTGGGCACGGGGGAGGGGGGACTTACTGCTCACCCAGCTCTCAGCTCGGCACTGTGGTGGGGTTGCAGTGCGGGCGAGATCGCATAGCGTAGATAGAACTTATTTAGGGTCTTTCGATCCTGGGGGCACCCTTTACGATCCTTAGGGTTAGGGTAAGGGTTAGGGAACCCCAGCAGCGCTAATTAGTCTGAAATGTTGCGCCCGGTAAAGTGCCGCCTGAGGGTTCACTGACATCTATCCTACTTTGAAGGGGAAATTCTTACCGTGACTTTTCTCCCAAGAAAAATTCCATGAATAGTCCTCCATGACAATCCATGAATCATCTGGGACATATATCCATGAATAAACACAGTCTGCGGCAAAACACCGTCCTTCGCGCAACAAGTTCAGGGAGTACTTTGCCGCAGACTGTGTTTATTCATGGATATATTCGTGTGTGAGATGATTCATGGATTGTGTATTTCTATGGAGGACTATTCATGGAATTTTTCTTGGGAGAAAAGTCACGGTAAGTGATGTGGAACTTATAACTTCCAAGTAGGATAGATGTCAGTGAACTTTGTGAGTAGGCATGCATGTATGGAACTGAACATATATATTATATAACGCATCTGTTGTTGCTAGGAAAGGGGTATCACTGTGATTGGGGATAAATGGCTCAACACCCCCTCCACCAGTACTAGTACGGTGGGATAGTGACATTGATACCTAATCTCAACCGCTACTCGGTGGGATAGTGACACTTACCCATAAGCCCAACCGCTACTCGGTGGGATAGTGACATTGATACCTAATCTCAACCGCTACTCGGTGGGATAGTGACATTTACCCATAAGCCCAACCGCTACTCGGTGGGATAGTGACACTGATACCTAATCTCAACGCTAATCTCAACCGCTAATCTCAACCGCTCGGTGGGATAGTGACATTGATACCTAATCTCAACCGCTACTCGGTGGGATAGTGACACTGATACCCTAATCTCAACCGCTACTCGGTGGGATAGTGACATTGATCCATAAGCTCAACCGCTACTCGGTGGGATAGTGACATTGATTCCTAATCTCAACCGCTACTCGGTGGGATAGTGGCATTTGCCTAGCATTCTGACCGCTACTCGGGAGGGATTTGGACTCTGCTATCCCCGATCTCTACTAGAGGGAGAATAGCGACACATATCGGAGACACTTCACGGTGAGGGGACCGTTCTGTGCGTTGACTTTTCATCATGGCTGCCAAAGTGGTACACGTGAACTTTGTGAACCCCACAGAGTTAAAACATATTGGGCTCTCCAGAGACCAGGTGGATAGGCTCATGTCAATTAGGAGCCAGGGATATAACATCACCAGGGAAGAGGTGGAGAATATGGAGGAGTTCCGTATGGACGAGGACGCTATGTCATTACTCTCATTTACATTCAATGGGTCATTGAAGGGAGTGGCCCCACCGCCAAATGATCATGGGGAAAGCCACGAGGTGGCCAGTGCGCTCAATGTCGAGGGTTCGACTCAGGGTGGCGACTCCGGAGGCGAGAGTGACACCCCAGAGGAAGGCCAAGCGGGGACTGACGGTCCCGAACGGGACACGAGAGTGCCAATGGATGAGCTCATGCATTTGATGAGCCAGATGATGCACACCTTGGTGGAAATAAGCAAAAAGAGTGCTGCTAGAGACGAGGAGAGTGCGCAAAAAATGATGCGCACCCTGGTGGGAATAAGCCAAAAGAGTGCTGCTAGAAATGAGGAGAGTGCGCAGAAAATGATACGGGACCTAGAGGGAGCAAACCAGAGGAGTGCACAAGGAATGCTACAGACTATGAAAGAAGTGCACAAGAGGAGTGCCGCTCGAGATGAGGATAATGCCTCAAAAATATTGTGGACAGTGGCGGAGATGGACAAAAAATCCGAAGACAGGCTGGATAGGGTGTTAGGCCGAATGGACAACTTTGGGATGCCGGTCAGGACACCGGGAGGACACCTTAGGGGTGGGCCATATGACACGGCCTCACATAGTGCTTCCATGGAGGTGAGAGAGGACATGTTTATGAGAGATAATATGCCATGTTGGGGACACCAAGAGTTGAAGCTGGAGCCTATAACACCCATTCGAGTGGAGGATGGTCACTGGGGAGTGACAACCACTCCAGATCGAGATAAAGCAACACCACTTGATGTCCGCCCGAAGAGTGGTGCGGGAGATACTAGTGTGCAGCGCTATGAGATGGGCAACATTAGCGAGATGGTGAATGAGAGAACTGCCAGGAGGTCCGCTTCCGAGTTACCATCGGTGCATGCAGTGAGGGAGGAGTTGATCAGAATAAAGGAACTGGAGCGACTTGTTGCTAGATTTGACCATGAACCATGCATAACCGATGTCTATGCCGATGAGGAGCGTTTACAGGCAGTGACTGCTGCAATATCAGAAATGGAACTAGTGGACTACTATGACATTGACACTGATGAAGAGCTTAGACTATGGAATTACCTGCTAGAGCTTCTTCACACTCGTCGCATGAATTTGGAGTTGACACTGACCCTACACAAGATCTTCCAGGAGATGCTGTGCCACCTGGACTGGGTGGAAGGGACCACAGCCTGGCTTACATCTGAGGGTGATGGTTGGCACCTGATGGAGGTGGAGGATCTCGTGCAGCAGCAATGCCTATTGGAAGCAGACATCCATGTAGTGGCAGAGGAGGTGGAAACTGTGAACTGTTCAGCCTCTCGTTTTACTGAAGAGGACTTGTGGGAATTCTGTGACCCTGATGTGGTCGAAAAACGAATGCTTATGTTGGAATCGGCTTATAAGGAACTGAAAACACTTGTTGAGCAGAGACGATCTCGGGTGGAAGAGGATCGTAAGCAGCAGCAGCTCTACAGGAACATGAAAGATGAGGAAGGATGGATCCGGGAGAAAAAACAACTTATGTCATCACTTGACTTAACGCTGCACTCATCAATGTTCCAGCTATATCATACACAGTATATGGTGGCTGTCTGTAAATTATCGAGTCTGGACCAGACAATTCAGTAATTAACATCAACATGAGCATCGATCTACACAAATGGGATACGATGACACATGTCAACTAAGTCAGTGAGCCTGACAACCCGATCCCATTAATTGCCTTTTATGACACGTATGGGTTGCTGAAGACCAATTCTATCCCCGTTCTTTGTGGGCAAATTACAAATGGGGGTTTCTGAGTAATGGTCAAGACACAAAGTGGGGAATATTACATTCAGAATAATGTCCTCCATTTTCATCAATCAAAAAAACGTTTTCAAAGAAACTACCCTTTTATTTCAAAAGCATCCTGGCCATGATATTGACAAGTTATGAAAGGTCTTAGAAATGTAATGACTACATTGCTTTGTAAGTTCATATTTCATGAACAGAATCGGACAATTCAAATGTTCAAGGTCATTTAGCATGATCAGTTAAAAAAGTTCTGTATAAGCCAATACCACAAAATGTTGGTTTCTGTGATTCCATTTTGAAAAACCTTTCACAACATTGTACCAATACAAAAATAGAACACCAGTACACTGAAATGGGTTTTAGAACTGGCGCAACCTTTCTAGGTTTTGAACTGCTGTAGTGATACAGTTTATATTCAGAGCATGACAGATAGAGATGTAATCTGAAGGCTGAAACTGTTACAACCCAGATCACTTTAGATTATGAGATGGAAAACTTCCACACCTGCCCACCCTCCCATCCAAATCCTTACAGAAGATAACTGACATCAAAACATTTGAACTGATCTCCAGATCTTAAGTTAATATTCAAATTAGTTTCTTGTACTAAAAATATTGCCCTCGTTATGTATTTCCAATAAATGAAAGCATCTTTCCTGCTCGAATCTTTTGGGCATTCATGTCTTCATACTGCTACCAGCTACTAAAATCCATAACATGCTGACGGAAAGCTAGACAATAGTGAAGCTCCCAGCTGCTTGCTGTAAAGAACAATATATATATAATAAATACACAATGCCATTTCGAATGTGGTCAACGTAACGTTATACTTTGGAATTACACTTTCCCAGTAAAGTACAGAGGCTAGAACTTTCATTAGGTTGCGTCCCATCCGGGATTCAAACCCACACTGTTAGAGTCAGGCGCCTAAACATCACCAAACAATGTCAGAGATCTAACCCACTCAGCCACCATGAGTTAATTGTTTATATTAAGGCATTTATATTGCAGGAATGTAAACATTGAATTTGACATAATTTTCTTAAAAGGCACACTGGGTTAACACATACTGGCTAAAACATAATTGTGTGTTGATTAATAAACACATCTATAGGGAGAGAATTCTGCACTTAGACACTTGTTGACCATCATATTCTGGATGATTAGTAGTAATATTCAATAAAATGATCATCCATGTACATTGCTGTCAAAAGGACAACACTATGACTATATAAAACCTGATTACTACAACAAACACAACCAAGTAGCTGCCTGCACGAGGAATTCTAAAAAGACTATTATGACAAATTCAACCAACATATTACCAGATTTATCACACATCACCAAAAACCAATACCATTGTTTTTAGTGCCTGATAATCAGTGGAACTATGAACAAGAAAATGATTGGTTGAGAGATACCCAAATAGCCAATGAATGACAGCTATCACAGCTCAAATGCTGTGTACATTCAGTGTGAGATTATGACTAAAACCTTTTTATTCATTGGAGAATATTTTGCCATAATGTCAGTCCATTACCGATTCTTCCAGCAAACCTCTGTGCATAGAAATCTAGAAAGGCGTGGATATATATGATTCTTGGTTACAAAATGAGCAGTGTCTATAGATGTCCAGATCCAGTTCACTGAGCCATCACGGTGTTCACATAGTTGAGTCTTGCAGGATGCTCATCTGCTGGTCTGTTGATGGGAGTCCACACCGGCTCACCAACAAACAGTCTCAACGCCTTGATGTAGTTCTGGAAAGATTAAATTACCAAGTAAGGCCAGACCAATTTTATTTCTTGTTTTACAGATTTTTGTCCTCAGAAAACCTAAGGCAGGAGGGAAAAAAAATTAAAATTAAAATCACCAGTCAAAGTAATGTTCCTTCTAACTACTAAAAGTGTTTTACTTTTGGCAATTTATGAAGTGTATATGGGGCAAAAAAAAACAATCCAAAAATTTTCTTTTTTGTAACTTTCAATTTTTGGCCAATAAAAACAATAGGATTCTATTTTTGTAGCGAGGAAGATTAATTTTTTCTCTTTTCTTATTCTTGAAAATATATGACCGGCGGATCCGTAAAACAAGAAATAGAATTGGTCTAGCCTAATGAATTTTATCACATAAGTTCCAAAATTTGTAAATTGAAGAAATACATATTCAATTCCCAGATGAATAAAGGGCTTTGTAAAACATCAGTCACTGGGTGGAATATAAGTATCTAAATGTTTAATACATTGACAATAGGGATACCACGATACATAAGTTTCATGAATCGATATGTATCACGATACCCATGTCACAATTCGATACGTATCACGATACCTATTTTTGTGGCATTATTATGCGTAAATAAAGTTACATTTTGAATATTAATATTTCATATTTTACAATTGTCCATGAAAAGATCAACATTTTTTATTCTCAGAGATTAAAAAGTTCTAATTTCTCATCTTTGTGCATGAAAAATAATAATTTATAACTCGTAACATCAAAAAGCATGATACAACTGCAAAATGTAAATGATACATAAATATAGTTAAACCGATACTTTCAAAACTAAACATCAATAGTTTTGAATGTATCGATAATTGTATCATCTTAGAAAAAACGTTGATGTATCGTGCTATCCCTAATAGATAAATAATGAGTGAATTTGGTTTAATGCCACTTTGAACAGTATTTGTGTCTAGAATTTGTTCATTTGGGAAATAAATCTGTACATTCAGGACTTTTTTGAAACCCAGAAGTTTTGGTATGTTGCTGTTAAATCTAGAAACAACAGGGGCGAACATGGGAAATGAACCCATGGTTCAGTAGACGGAGGCAAGCATTTCTAAATGCTTGGTGAATAGGTTTAGGAACAGACCAACGTTGATACACGATTCTCACTGCTCTCCAACATAGTTCATTCTTTCCAGCTGTTATTGCATGGATCAATGACAATCTATCGCCCTTCATGTACATAATAATATACAAGATTTATTTGAAAAACAACTATCGAATACTTTGTCACCAAAACAACCTATGCAGCATCAAACTATATAACTTTTGGGATCAATAATGATTTTTTATAAAATTATATGTAATTCATCTCAGAATACACATGAGGATGCATGTCATATCAAAAGCATGTTACTCAGAAAGTAAAGCTATGAGGTTATTTGTATCTAAGAGCAAGGTGAAGTATTTTCTGTACTTGAAACGTAGACTTAACTTTCAGCACACAAAATGATACTATTTCTAATCTCATAATCGGTGTCAACTGCCAGCAAAGTCTGAGAGAGCAATGTTTACTATAGATTCATAACAAGACACAGATGATGTAGGTCTTGTAACAGTATATATTGATGTAGGTCTTGTAACAGTATATATTGATGTAGGTCTTGTAACAGTATATATTGATGTAGGTCTTGTAACAGTATATATTGATGTAGGTCTTGTAACAGTATATATTGATGTAGGTCTTGTAACAGTATATATTGATGTAGGTCTTGTAACAGTATATATTGATGTAGGTCTTGTAACAGTATATATTGATGTAGGTCTTGTAACAGTATTTATGCTGCTTCTCATGTACACTGATATTTGTGTTTGGAGATTATGACCTTTTTGAACTGTTGTGTCAAATATATTATGCCATACTGTCATGACACAGCAAGACCTATATACCTCCGGACTATTTTATTGTTGTGTCAAATATATTATGCTCTACTGTCATGACACAGCAAGACCTATTTACCTCCGGACTATTTTACTGTTGTGTCAAATATATTATGCTCTACTGTCATGACACAGCAAGACCTATTTACCTCCCGACTTTTTTACTGTTGTGTCAAATATATTATGCTCTACTGTCATGACACAGCAAGACCTATTTACCTCCGGACTATTTTACTGTTGTGTCAAATATATTATGCTCTACTGTCATGACACAGCAAGACCTATTTACCTCCGGACTATTTTACTGTTGTGTCAAATATATTATGCTCTACTGTCATGACACAGCAAGACCTATTTACCTCCGGACTTTTTTACTGTTGTGTCAAATATATTATGCCATACTGTCATGACACAGCAAGACCTATTTACCTCCGGACTATTTTACTGTTGTGTCAAATATATTATGCTCTACTGTCATGACACAGCAAGACCTATTTACCTCCGGACTTTTTTACTGTTGTGTCAAATATATTATGCTCTACTGTCTTGACACAGCAAAACCTATATACCTCTGGACTATTTTACTGTTGTGTCAAATATATTATGCTCTACTGTCATGACACAGCAAGACCTATTTACCTCCGGACTATTTTACTGTTGTGTCAAATATATTATGCTCTACTGTCATGACACAGCAAGACCTATTTACCTCCAGACTATTTTACTGTTGTGTCAAATATATTATGCTCTACTGTCATGACACAGCAAGACCTATTTACCTCCAGACTTTTTTACTGTTGTGTCAAATATATTATGCTCTACTGTCATGACACAGCAAGACCTATTTACCTCCTGACTATTTTACTGTTGTGTCAAATATATTATGCTCTACTGTCATGACACAGCAAGACCTATTTACCTCCAGACTTTTTTACTGTTGTGTCAAATATATTATGCTCTACTGTCATGACACAGCAAAACCTATTTACCTCCGGACTATTTTACTGTTGTGTCAAATATATTATGCTCTGCTGTCTTGACACAGCAAAACCTATTTACGTCCGGACTTGTAACTTTATCTCTCTAGATGAGGTAACAAGTGTTGTCGCATGGTTCTGCACAACAAACGTTTTTCATTCTGTTGAATAACTGGGTCAGATATATAATGCTGTTCCACCATGACACAGCAAAATCTGTTTACCGCAGAACTTGAAAAAGTTAAACACCTACTGCAGGTAGACAATTGCTTGTGGTATTACTCTGATTATATGAAAAGGAAAAACAGACAGACAAATGTGTGACCTGGCCAGTCCACTCCCATCTTAACCAATATCCGATCTAATGGATCATTATCTCTTAGGCGTAAAAATTAGTATTCTTTTAATTTATTTTAATGTATGCATGGCATTAAAAGATGCTGAGTAGCGTCTGCACTGTTCACAAACATGTTAACATTAGCTAAGACTGACACCAGGTGTTACCTTGGTGTCCAAGGTGAATCTGTGGTAGATCCCAGCTGGCAAGATGATGAGGTCTCCCTTCACACACTCGATTCTTATCCACTTGTCGTTCTTGTCACGAACATCGAAGTAACCACTGCCATCAAGGATGAAGCGAATTTCTTCATCTGAGTGAAGATGTTCCTCAAAGAATGCCTTTATCTATTTCAAAAAGAACAAAAAGGTAATCTGATGTGACAAACAGCATACTGGTTCTGTACATTTAGTGAAAATATGAACACAGAAACGTTAAAATTGAAAATTTTAACTATAAATTATATATTTAAAATACTTATCTCATCTCATGTCATACTCTCTCTCTTATGATCGACAGTTAAGTGGAAAAGAACTGTAAACAAAGTTTTGGGCCTCTCTTCAACCCTTCACTCCGACAGCTCCGTTCCTGGACAGCCTGGCAGCCTCTGAGAAACATGCAGATCGTCTTCTGATTGATCATGTGATCCCTTTGCATAGTCATTCTTGCCTTGGAGCAATAGTCATAATCTGTGCAGCAGGCTTGGTTGGGCGGGAATCTATCATGTGTGATAGGATAAGTTTATTTAATATACAATTTATAGTAAAAAATTTGAATTTTTAAACTTATCCTATCTCACTTATCCCAAGGTAGGACAGTTGGCCACAGATTATCCTGTCTTCAAGTGGATGACAACTCTGGTGATGTGATGATGATAAACAAGGATGCCTGTCATAAGTGAAATCCCCTGATTGACTGCATAACTCCATTACTTGTGATAGGTTGCTTTTAAAAACCACTTGGCTTACTCAGCACAAAAACTCCCAGGGAGTGGGCGCTCTCGAGTAGATGTGGTTTTCCGCTGTATATTTGCCACATTTGCCACCAGACAAATGCTGAGCTAATCAGGTTTCCCCACCTCACTCCGATTTCCAGAAAGCCCCAGTAAATTAAAGTCTTGTGACTGTAATCTGGACAACCACTGCTTTAAACACCATCCCCACAGACACAAAAAGGGAAAATGGCTCCGTCACACTAAAACTGTTTTAATGCTCAGTTCCAAACAACATCAAATGATCTTCGCTCCTTTGCTTAAACTACATCAAGGATGTGTCCAGCATCTTAAGATTTGAACACATTGAAATCCACTGGAATTCGGTATTCATTGCTTGAAGAGTAGAGGTCAGTGAGTGTCCATCACCTCTGCATTGTAGTACAAGACTGTCCTCCTAGTCTATGACTGACTGACTGAGTTTGGTTTTACTGCGCTTTTAGCAATATTCCAGCAACATCACAGTGGGGGACACCAGAAATGGGCTTCACACATTGTGCCCATGTGGGGATTCGAACCCGGGTCTTTGTCGTGACGAGCCAACGCTTTAACCATTAGGCTACCCCACCACACACCCCTAGTCTATGATGAAGTTGCTCAACAGCGACTGTACTGCAATGCCCTGGCGTGAAGTCAGGTGAGGTAGATCTCAGCCCAAGGGTAGTAGAACGAAAATGAATATTGGGGTTCCATACATCTTTATTTAGTTTATACAAGCACAGGCAAACTGTAGCGCAAATAGGATTGCGCAACACAGAGAAAATGACCAGTCTTCATATGCGTGCCAATCTGCTGGAGACATTGAGTTGGTGATGATGTTCTTCACTCCCGGTATGTGACTGGCTCTTGCTGGGATTGCCAGGGAGTCAGTCAGTTGGAAGAACTGGATCGCCCAACCTTGGAGGTGCGACGAACTTGTTGAACCCAGATGATTGATCACCACTGGGTTGTCTGATCGTAAGAGAAGATTGGTCGATAAAAGATCCTTTGCCCAATGTGTTATGGCTAGGATGTCTGCCTTGAAGTCCTGTTCGTTTATGTGAAGTGACTGTTCGTCGAATGTTGATCTTTGAAGTGATGCATCTACGAACAGGCAATGAGTGGGGATGAATGGCATCAGGTAAACTCCTCCTCAGACATTTGATTCGCCGAGCCACCATTGAAGGTGTTGATGGAGCAACGAAGGTAGAAAGATCATCTCAATGGTCGTAGAATCCTCTGGATCAAACATAGTTTTAGTTGACCTCTGGTCGTGAGGGCTTGGGCTGAGTTAGCCCCGCAACTCCGCCACTGTTGCAGTGTAATCTTCTGCGTCAGTGCTAAAGGGATGATGCATTGATTCGATGATCTTTGACTTTCAAAGATTCATGAGGGATCGTCACAGTAAGAGGGATCGCCGATCCTGGCTGGAACGACCACAAGTCGTGATGAAATCCAGTAGCTGAGTCTAACTCTAACATGTTCATAAAACGTGGGTCTGGAATTGGCAGGTAGGTCATAAGATCTGGGCGATGGTGCAGCCGAAGTCCGAGCCGTAACAATCAAAGGTGGTTGGTTCGCATACGGGAGGTTTGCTGAAATAGATGAGATCACCGAACGAGTCGAAATCTGATGTTTGGTCCCATCTGGAGGGATAGCTGAATCTAGCTGGTTCGACAAATCATGAGGCTTCAGCGAGTGGTGGGTTTGGCGAGTGGTGGGTTCGGCAAACTACTGGAAGCATCCGCAGGATGAAATAGTCGTCTCAAATTCTTTCTTTCTTTATCCTTCAAACACTAAAGACCAATGCAGTCTATGCAGGATGCGTGTAGGTTCAAGATGAAGGTCTTAATTCTTGCAGTCCACGCAAACCTGCTTTTCCTTGACGTTGAATCTTCTTTCCCCATGATGTTAAAGGTTATTTCAGCGCTATATAAATATCCTATAATAAAAATAATAATAATGTTAAAGGTTATTTAAGTCAGTTTATTTGCCACAGTTTACAAACTACAGCATGTCAGCACCCTAGTGCGACAAGAAAGAGAATAACTACACAAACGGATCACATGATCAATCAGAGGACGGGTTGAACGCTTCTCAGAGGTCGCCAGGCTATCCAGGATCGGGAGCAGAAGGGATGTGTTGGGGCGAGGGTTCAAGAGAGACCCAAAACTTTGTTTACAGTCAATTTTCCACTCAACTGTGGATCATAAGAGAGAGAGTACAAGACGTGAGATAGGATAAGTTTTATAAGTTTTGAATTTATCACACTGTCAGTAGACATGATACTGACTACCCGGTACATATATTTTCTGATATGGACAAAATATCTTGGTCTGGTAAGCATATATGATATTTCTCTTTCAATTGAAATTTGTATTTGTGATCTTGCTCAAATGACTACAGTACAAGCCATTGGCAATGTTGGACCCAAGGACCAAATCCGTCTCCCGGATCCCACACCTAGCTCGATGAGGCAACAGGGAACCCCTGGGGAGTCTAGGTTAGAACTGTTGGAGATGTCTACCTTCTGTTCATAATTCGGCAGCTTCTCCTTGGTGATTTCAATCATATCGTAATACGAATATCCTCTGTCGTCACGCATCTTTTGCAGCTCTTTGTTCTTCTCATGATCGTCTGCATCAATCTGAAAACACGACAAGCAATGTGAGACTATGCCCATGAATTCTTGTTTACTCTGTTTCTGAACATGGGAGCTGTTGAAATAAACAATAAGAAAACAACTTATTGGTTACCTTTGTATATTTTGTTGAATAAATATAGCATATACAGCAAACATAATGAGGCTCAACATCAATGATCTTTGTTATAACTTTAATGTTAAACGTTTAAGTCCCTTCACTCAAATCATCTCAAAGAAGATTCACTTCCCTTCCAATCCCTGATGAGGATGTTTGTAATGAAACAGATGAATGTTTGTAGTTACCATGGTTAAGGCCTGCACATAATATTGGAAATTTTAACTATAAATTGTGGGGATCCGAGGAAGAAAATATTGTTTACACCGTGCACAGATAAAATAACTAAGGTATATTGAGAGGCTCTATTTCAGCCCATGAACTTTGCAACTTGCAGTCTTTCTTATCGTTTCTCATATTACTGATCAAATATAAATAACAAACACGAAAACCAACATTTAAACTTTATTATGTTTTTACAATTAATGGAAATTGGCAAAATACCCAATTGAGTTTGAGTGAGGTGGGTACAATTTATTTAGTTACTCAAAGGAAAATTAGGATACCCATTTGAGATGAACACATGCGATTACACAACCTTACAATGCTCAATGGCCCAAAAGTTCTCTAGCTCTGAATGTGTTTTTAAGCTATCTGTCCATGAGTGAAGAGTGGTGTTGCTGTCCAGAACAGTTCTCAGTATGGAGGAAGTTAGGATGACCAAAGGTCACTGATAAATCTCCCTTGACATGCACCTGATCACCAACCCACACTTTTGATCTGAATGAGACAAGACAATCCCTGGTAACAAGCATTGGTGAGAGTAACTAACATACGTCAAAGGATATAAACCTTGGTTGAAGGATATAATAAACCAGGTCTCAGGTCACGGTACTACCTCTCACACATGTTGAAAATACAGGGCTCGACACAGATCTTCAGTGAAGCATGATAATGTCCTTCATGGGGAGCAATTGCTTTTTCTATAACCATGATAACAGAATATCTCAGTCATATTCTAAAATTATCTATTCATTATTTTTTCTTCTATCTTACCACTAACACAGTTTTAGATGTCAATAGTCCCAACAGTGTGTTACAGTGTTTTAAGTACGTGTACATGGTAGCTGGGTCATCCGCTTCAGTGGACATGAAACAGGTCCGCTAAAAAACAACATTCAGCAAACTGTCAAAGGGCTCGCCCATGGGCACTTCTTAGTCTATTGGACAATGGAACAAACCCCAAAGCATGTTTGTATTGAGACACTCAACCGCCTTCCTTTCTCAACTTTAGCAGCCTTATTTCAGAAATAATATTTAAATTACAAAAAAAAAAATTTAAAAATAGAAAAAAAACCAAAAAAAACAAACTTTAGCAGCCTTTACTCATCTCCTTTCAAGGGACTGGTCGTTTCTTATTAGGGTTACCTCATAATGAATATCAGGGTTACAACAGGTCTTCACGGGTGGAAATAACCCATTCCCCGACGTCCGAGTCCAGTGTTTTTTTCTGTCGGGCAAACAAATTTGTATATCACAATGTACCGGTGTCCAGTTGACTTTCCACTGTTAATTATGTTGTTTATTTTAAAAAATCAACAAGAAAACGGCCAGTATAGAGGAAACATGATCAGGGCAAGTGATTTTACATGTGCCACTGTACCGGAGTACACTAGCAATTTTAAAGTTACTTCCACCCCTACTTCAGCAACCCATGCTTGTTGTAAGTGGTCAATTTGATGTACTTGGTTGACAAATGTCAATGTATCCCAACTGTGCTGATCAATCCCCATATCAATCACTAGATTGGCTTACTGAGACTTGTACTACAATTGTACTTCACTATCAAAGTTTAAATCGAGCATAATAAAAACAATTATATTTTTAACATCATATAACTCAGCTCCACTGTACTTTTCTTACAGTATTAGAAAAGTTAACCTATTACATACTCAACCACGTAATGAAGCTAGCAGATTAAGTTACGATCTGTACAGAGTAGCGTTAATCACTGATCCATCCTGCGGATGTGGAAACCCATGCACAAATGCTCATCACCATTTCTTAGAATGTTCTTTACACAATGAACATAGAAAGATCATGCTTAAAGATATTCAAGATGTATGTGGTAGTAATTCTGTGATTACATTATCGTTATTTTAAACGGCATTGCAGATCTGACAAATCATAAAAATGAAATTATATTAAAACATGTACATCAATATATATGCAAATCTAAACGATTCCAGTAGTCTTCTCCCTATACACCTTTTGTATTATAACATTTCCCGAATTGTCAATCTTTCTCTGTCTCTGTTTCTAATAATTGCTTGTGATGTAATTAGTTATTGTAAATATCTTTGGAGAGGGGTTTTATAAGTTGAAAGAACCTGTCCCCAATCCTTTTCATATTGTCAATAAAATATGTTTAAACTAAAACTACTGAGATTCAATTAATTGCACACAGCCCTAATATAGCTAGAAATTTGCTGAGTGCAGCATTGACAACAATTGGGGCTACGGGACCAGGTCCCCCCCAAGGGCTCAAATTAAAAATTGCCCTTGGGAAGTCCCTAATCCCATAGCCCCATTGTGTATACTACTACTGAGGTGCATGCAAAATTTGATGAAAATCAGTCGAATAGTTTCTGAAATATTGACTTTCAAGTGAGCATGGGATCGGTCGGGAAAAAGGCTCGGATCGCCTCAGGGGTGGTTGCTCCTCCGAGCGATGTGGGTTGACGAGTCGCAGTGCGTGTGTCTCTCTCAGCTTGGTGTGCGGGTGGCTGGCTGGCTGGCTGGCTACATTAAGTAGAAAACTAGGCATGCAAGACTGATAAAAAAAATCATGACAAGAAACTATCATCACACGGTGGGTGATGTGTAAGGGACTGTGTCGTGAGGTACAATCATCAACTCCTCTCTGACGAATGCTCTCGTCATTCAAGTAGTACAAGTTCGGTTCTCCGTCTTTGATGTCGACAAGGTCTACGTTGTACGATTTCATGGACCATATCGGATCGGTGGCACGTTTTCTGCTGTCTCCCTCGTATTCTCCCAGCTGGTACAAGTACCTAACGCTGACCCGGTCCGGTAATATTTACTCTGTTTTATCGCGACATGCTGCTGCTGCCGACGACGATTCGACAGATTTCATGGCTTCGACGGGTCTCTTGCCCACGAGTCTGGTGACTTCGTTGTTGATGGCATCCACAACTCGCGGTAAGTGTAAGACCCATCCCATGTTTCTGTTTCCGGGATCCATTAAATCCTGCAAGTATTGGTGCGAGAACAGGCGTTCGGCTAGGGTGCGATTGAATCTCTCAACGATGGCTTGGCTACGGTGAGCTCCCTCTATACCTCGTCTCACTTGGACTTTGTGCTTGGCCAGCAACTGTGACACGGCTCCCATGAACTTGCGTCCGGGATCGACTTGTAATACGGTAGGCCATGTGAAGCGACTGCGTTTGTATATGTATTTGACTGATTTTCGTGAAATTTTGCATGCATCTCGGCAGATGGTTACGCTGTAGCAAAACGGCATTGGGAACACTCTCGATGACTTCATTAGATTAATTAAGACTTAATTACGACAAAAAGTTGGACATTTTGCCTTTTCCAGACCGACCCCATGCTCACTTAAAAGTCAATATTTCAGAAACTATTCAACCGATTTTCATCAAATTTTGCATGCACCTCAGTAGTAGTATACACAATGGGGCTACGGGATTAGGGACTCCTCAAGGGCTCAATTTGTAAATTGAGCCCTTGGGAGGGACCTGGTCCCGTAGCCCCATTGTGTATACTACTCAACAACCAAACAAACTACTATAGGCGATGGGTTGGATATGGACGTTATGACTGTCATATTCACTAAGTCAGCCCAACATGATATCCTAATGCGGTTGCTATCTATAAAATGATAACCAAACCCTACAAAAGTGTTGAAATGTTTTAATTTAAATTGGCAAAACCCTGCCATTCTTTATATTCCTGCCCCACCCTGAACATATACCTGTGAAATAATCTGGCGACCCGTATTTTGCTGTGTCATTTCTCCGCCTCCTCCCCCACCCATTATGCACTTAATTTGTAAGTACTGTTCACAACATATGTTTCTCTTGTCTCTGTAATGTTATGTTGAATCACGTTTCCACGGTATGGCACATATATAGAAGGCATGAGTGAGCAAGTGAGTTTAGCTTTACGCCGCTTTTAGCAATATAATCCAACAATATCACAGCTGGGGACACCAGAAATGGGCTTCACACATTGTACCCATGTGGTAGAAGGCATGAGTATCTTTATGAGTGAGTGAGTGAGTGAGTGAGTTCAGTTTTACGCCGCTTTTAACAATATTCCAGCTATATCGAGGCGGGGACACCAGAAATGGGCTTCACACATTGTACCCATGTGGGGAATCGAACCCGGGTCTTCGGCGTGATGAGCAAACGCTTAAACCACTAGGCTACCCCACTGCCCAGTATCTTTAGGAAACAGTTGTATAATAACACATGGCATCATATGATTTAGTATATAACTAAATGAATAAGCAATAAGACTGCATTATGATTACAAGCATATTATTAGTATACCTAAACATGAGTTTAAAACAAGACATATCAGAGACTATTCATAATTTATGGCTGGGGGGTGATGATGATTTTTATGGAGAAGCATGTAAAATGTGAATGACCCCCCTAAAATCTATGTACAAAGAAAGTGACACCCCACCCCCTTCCCCAACATGTCAAGTACAAAACTGCTGACTCACCCCTAGTACATGTATTTGATGCCTCCAAGCCATACATTATCAACAGTCTCTAGCTAGATTTTTTTGTCTACCAGTATATTGGGTGAAAATAAATGTAATAGCGAGACCTAAGCCAAAATGAACCGGCAGGTTAGACAAAGCTCAATATTTGGGTAGGTCAAAATGTCCAATCATATGACAGTATCTCCATGATTGAAACAGGAGCCGTTATATCAGTACTAGAATCAGCTTTCCTGTCTCAAATACAATTTAACTGGAATGCCTTGTAGCATGTGAACTTCTTCCACTATTAATGCACTCTTAGAGATATCTTTTCATTAACTCAGTATTAGATTTGAGGTGAGGTGAGGTGAAATTGGGTTTAACGTCAAGCTGGAGAATATTTCGCTCATATGACAACGTGCATGCATGTGTATGTGTAGGTGTGGCTGCTTGTACAAGCCCAGACTGAAGCTGGTTTTATAGTGCTAGCCCACTGAGATACCATGCTGCAGTGAAGCATGAATACCCCACTCGGACAGATTATACTGACTCCAAGCCGACCAGTCCTTGTTGTACCCATTAATGTCAAGAGCCAGGCAGGGACCAACAAGTGCCATATTTTAACGTCTTTTGGTATGACGCGGTCGGGGATCGAACCCGCGACCCTCCGCTCTCCGGGCGGACGCTCTAACCACTACACCACGGAGGAGGTCTATATTAGATTTGAGGGCTATCAAATACATTGAGTGTTCAGGAACCCATTACATTTAAATTTATAAGCTGAAATTATCCCTCACTAAGTTAGTGGTGTGAGATGGAGTTGGAGGTGGTCACTCCTGAAACAAGGCTTTTATAGTGAAAACGTTCTGGTTACCTCTAACCACTACACCACGGGGGTGGTCTATATTAGATTTGAGTTCTATCAAATACATTGAGTGTTCAGGAACCCATTACATTTAAATTTATAAGCTGAAATTATCCCTCACTGAGAAGTTAGTGGTGTGAGATGGAGTTGGAGGTCAGGTCACTCCTGAAAACAAGGCTGTTTATAGTGCTTTTATAAAACGTTCTGGTTACCTCTAACCACTACACCACGGGGGTGGTCTATATTAGATTTGAGTTCTATCAAATACATTGAGTGTTCAGGAACCCATTACATTTAAATTCATAAGCTGAAATTATCCCTCACTAAGTTAGTGGTGTGAGATGGAGTTGGAGGTGGTCACTCCTGAAACAAGGCTTTTATAGTGAAAACGTTCTGGTTACCTCTAACCACTACACCACGGGGGTGGTCTATATTAGATTTGAGGTCTATCAAATACATTGAGTGTTCAGGAACCCATTACATTTAAATTTATAAGCTGAAATTATCCCTCACTAAGTTAGTGGTGTGATGGAGATGGAGAAACAAGGAGTGGTGGTCACTCCTAGAAACAAGGCATTTTTTATAGTGAAAGTTAGTGGTGTGAGATGGAGTTGTCACTCCTAAAACAAGGCTTTTATAGTGAAAACGTTCTGGTTACCTCTAACCACTACACCACGGGGGTGGTCTATATTAGATTTGAGGTCTATCAAATACATTGAGTGTTCAGGAACCCATTACATTTAAATTTATAAGCTGAAATTATCCCTCACTAAGTTAGTGGTGTGAGATGGAGTTGGAGGTGGTCACTCCTGAAACAAGGCTTTTATAGTGAAAACGTTCTGGTTACCTACATCATAACTGTATGGAGATATGACACAGGAAAACCGAAGTTGCGAATAAATCTGTAGATTGGCATAGTCATGGGGTGGAGGAAGAGGGTGGTGAGACATGGATAGAATATTTTATGATACAAAATTTGATATATACAGTCCTTTAAGACAATGTCACAGAATTTAATGGACTCAAAACATCCTAATGAATTAAGTGTAAACTCATGAATTTTTGCAAACACTGCATGAGTCTTAAACAATTGGCCATCTCATCTCAACCACTTCTTGTAGTTAGACAATGTTCTACTGTTACTCACAGATCAAATATTGTCAGGTGAAATTGGGACATTTAGTGTACTAGATATATCAACGTATCGTCTAAAGTGGTGTTACAGTGACTTGACAATATATTTTTTAGCAGAGACATATGGTCTCTGTTTTTACGTATATAGCTTAAGCATGGCATCCTAGTTTTAATTATCAGAATTAAACCAATGCCTTGTTACATATGGATAATTGCATGTACTTTTCAAATCGTTTGGGGAATATTGATCGTTTTAAAAGATTTAAAACCCTTTCCTCTGCAAAAAACAAAGTATCTCCTAAAAGCAATTTAAGTATTGTTTGAAAATGCCACAAACCAGCAGCTTGGGGACTCTAACATAGGGAATAAGACGAGGGTAATGGGAAGACCCTGTTAAAGGCATCCTCGATTATCCAGTTTATAAAAATACGACACGCTGGATATTCGACGATAGCGGGTTCATTCTCAGGTCAGCATGGCCTTACCTGGAAGTATTCCACACCAGACACACCTCTCAGCGTATCTAAGTCGACAAACTGCGGAGGTTCCAGCATGTGGGGCAGACGTTGATCAGCGTCAGAACTGTCCATAAACCATGCTCTCACCATCTTGATTGCTGTCAGCCGAGACGATCAAACGCGTTGCACACTATGGATCTGTTGCGTTTTGATGTAATCACGTGACACGTGGAAATTTATTTCGTCCTCACTCGCCCCTTTCCGTAGCCTGCTTAACATCACGAATGCCTGCTTAAAACCGCGCTCGGCTAAACTCGGTCTATTTCGCTATTGTTTATCGTACTGGAGCTGACACGGGAATGACATGTTTTGATCACGAATCCTATGTTTGTCAAGGTCGTGTGTGACTATTGGTGTCAGTTAAAGCCATCTGGACGACTGCATACTGTATGCCATGTAAACAGCCGAACGAAAATGTCGATTTAATTATATCCTTCTATTTTCTTGGCATAGAAGGCACACAGTTGTGCGGAAAATATGTAGAGTGGTGTTTCAGATGTCTATCGACGCCCATCATATACCAACAATTTGGAAAACCGCACATATAATCCCCGTTCCCAAAAATTCAAAACCTCAAATCATTAATGACTACCGCCCAGTGGCACAGGCCCTCGTGTCTTTGCGAAGATTAACAATTAAATTTGTTTTTTTTAGATGACCCCCGACTCGAAATGCTTCACAGTACAATACATTCACACTCTGCCGCAGTGATGACTTAGCATAACACCACTGTCGTCAGACTCCCCATTGTTCTCAGTGCCCTTGGTTTACCTCCTGATCTCTTGGCACAGACCAATTGTCCGACAAGTCAATCTGGCGTGGCTGTGATTACAACCTAGTCTTACCCACTGATATAATGAACCTGTCCTATACACTGACGAGATGTTCTCACATTTGTATAGAAATACTTTGACTAGAATACTAATGTTGACAGTTATCTAGAGAAAACTCAAGTTGTTGTTTTTATAAAAGGTGGACCCTTAGCGAGAATAAGAAATGGTTTTATAAAGGTGAACGTGTTTTAAAAGTTGATTAATATAGATATCTAGACATCCCATTTTTATCTTCTTGTAAATTCAATAAATGTATATTAGATTTATCATCTCGGGGTAAAAGGACACTTCTAGAAGTACTACACCACGTATATAGATTAGATAATGTTGACTTTTCTGTAATTTTCAAAACATTTGATACCCAAATTTTAACCAGAGACATATGGTCTCTGTTTTTACGTATATAGCTTAAGCATGGCATCCTAGTTTTAATTATCAGAATTAAACCAATGCCTTGTTACATATGGATAATTGCATGTACTTTTCAAATCGTTTGGGAATATTGATCGTTTTAAAGATTTAAAACCCTTTCCTCTGCAAAAAACAAAGTATCTCCTAAAAGCAATTTAAGTATTGTTTGAAAATGCCACAAACCAGCAGCTTGGGGACTCGAACATTGGGAATAAGACGAGGGTAATGGGAAGAACCTGTTAAAGGCATCCTCGATTATCCAGTTTATAAAAATACGACACGCTGGATATTCGACGATAGCGGGTTCATTCTCAGGTCAGCATGGCCTTACCTGGAAGTATTCCACACCGGACACACCTCTCAGCGTATCTAAGTCGACAAACTGCGGAGGTTCCAGCATGTGGGGTAGACGTTGATCAGCGTCAGAACTGTCCATAAACCATGCTCTCACCATCTTGATTGCTGTCAGCCGAGACGATCAAACGCGTTGCACACTATGGATCTGTTGTGTTTTGATGTAATCACGTGACACGTGGAAATTTATTTCGTCCTCACTCGCCCCTTTCCGTAGCCTGCTTAACATCACGAATGCCTGCTTAAAACCGCGCTCGGCTAAACTCGGTCTATTTCGCTATTGTTTATCGTACTGGAGCTGACACGGGAATGACATGTTTTGATCACGAATCCTATGTTTGTCAAGGTCGTGTGTGACTATTGGTGTCAGTTAAAGCCATCTGGACGACTGCATACTGTATGCCATGTAAACAGCCGAACGAAAATGTCGATTTAATTATATCCTTCTATTTTCTTGGCATAGAAGGCACACAGTTGTGCGGAAAATATGTAGAGTGGTGTTTCAGATGTCTATCGACGCCCATCATATACCAACAATTTGGAAAACCGCACATATAATCCCCGTTCCCAAAAATTCAAAACCTCAAATCATTAATGACTACCGCCCAGTGGCACAGGCCCTCGTGTCTTTGCGAAGATTAACAATTAAATTTGTTTTTTTTAGATGACCCCCGACTCGAAATGCTTCACAGTACAATACATTCACACTCTGCCGCAGTGATGACTTAGCATAACACCACTGCCACAGGCTAATTTGCATATCACGTGACCGGACTTTCCTCTTGTTTGTTAAAGAACCACTAAACTTTGTTTTTTGTTACTCTTTTAACTATTACATATGAAAGATTTGTGGTTAGTCTTATGCGGAACACCAAATTTATTCTTTAAAAACTTGTGGTTAATTAATACCGAGCGATTAAAAGTGGCCAAAAAGTCGCCTGCTTCCCTCTCGCCCGCCAACGAAACCTCAGACAGGTTACGTAACTGTCGCCACAGCGAACTGGAAGTGACGTCATATGAGGAACGATTTTCAGTTAGTTGTATAGAAAATGTGTAGCATGCTCATCATTTTGATGATTTCTCGACATCAACGACGACATGCCGAATTGTTGCTTTGTCGTCAATTGCTCCTAGGGGTCGGGCGATGGTGTCACCATGCACAGATTTCCACAGGACCCCGCAGTTCGTGCTAAATGGGTTATGTTTGTGAGTGCGAAGCGAGCGTTGTGGAAGCCTGAAACGATATCTTACTTGTGTTCAGATCGCTTCACGGAAGTTAAAGAATCAAAACTACTTACTAGTTGTAGTAAAATATGTATATGATTGATGACCATAAAGATTTTCCATGACACAACTTGTAACATAACGATTTCTTCCTCGGAAGTGAGGTTGTGGTCGAAGTAACAATAATATTGTAAGTAGTATTATATTGACACCCACCTCGCTGCCTGGAGAAATTGTTATGTTATAGGCTATGTCATGCAAAATCCTATTGGCCATCAATAAAATAAATATTTTACTACCAGTAGAAAGTAGTTTTGATTTTGTAACTCGGTGAAAACAAATCTAAATAGCATTTATCCTCAGACTGGCGGATGTTCCCGACAGGGCGCCGCCATTTTTGAAAATAGTAACGTCTGTTAGAATTAATGAGATTATAGTTTGTTTTGTTAAATATGTATTGGAATCATAACCTAAAACGGATTTTGCATGACCAAACGGATTTTTGCATAACTTATAACGATTTCTTCCACAGAAGCGAGGTGGGGTCGAAGTTAAAATACTGCGCGATAAATTTCTTGCTACATTCACATGGTTAATGTCCACTCACCAGTATGTAGATACTAGTCAATGTGCGTCTTTATATTTGGTCTTATAATCCTAATTAGTTTTGATCATACTTGTATGCATTTTGAAACTAAATAAAAGCAGACGATCTGCTGATACTTATAGTGAATTTATAACAGAACTGTAATATCTAGACATTTTATAGTTTGCCAATGTGAATCATAATTCCGCACACACACCCTAGTGTATGTTGTCTGTCTCATTACACTTCACGGCGAAAACAATGATTCTGTTGAATGCTACGACAAATGAATCAAAACAAAATGCAAATATTAAAATTAAAACAGATTAAAGTTATAGGAACAATATCAGGCCATTACCTTGTTCGAGGAATGTATCCATCAATATCCACAAAACTGTTCCAAATGATGTGTCTTTTAACAGTTTAATATATGAAAAAGTTATCAATCTTTTCAGGTATTGGTGTATAGTCTCATTGGTCACCCAAGATAGCACACCTGGCAACTAATTGCATAATGTCCGCCTTTCTTTAAAAACAGTAATTTAGTTAATAATAGCCAATAATGGGCAATCAATCAATGTATTGGCGGTTAATCCTTTGAAAGAAGGACGTTGTTTTTACGCAGACACCGACACGACAGAGTGTATTCAGTATAGATTAGTAAATCTACATACATAAACACTACCTTTTGACAATTCCGCTGTGTAAGATAAAAGTAATTAATCAATCAGCGTGTTATCGGTTAATCCTTTGATCGATGTTTATAATGTTGAATATTTACTCCAGACACAAGAAATGCCAAATGGGAACCTTTGTCGGGTAATCTAAGTGTGTTACCACTAATTATACCTGTTATAAATTCATTAACTGACCATCAAGTGAATGATGACAAATAACGTGTAGGTTTATACCACATAACATGGGGTTACAACAAAGGAGTATTAATTGCTGTATTGCATGTGAAAACTTATGGGCCGACACTGTTTTGAGAATACAAACAGATTTTTAAATGACATGATTAAATATCGAGGTAAAAACACAGAAATGGGATCAATTTAGATCAGTCATTATACAAATAGGGCCTAACGACACCAATCGATTTTGACAGAATCGTCTATGAAAACAAGTTGTAACTCGAAAATTAGGCAAAACAGGAGACAAAATTAAATGACAGTAGATTGTGAGAACATATAGCGTTCATTTTCAACAACAATTGTCACGATTTCAGGTTTATACAAGCCTGTAAACAAGATAATTTAACCCCTAAAATGTAGATGAATTCTGCATCGGCCCTCAAAGCTATTCCTCATATGACGTCACAGAGACGCGCCGCTCTGATTGGTTGAAATTTCGTTCGCGGGTGAGAATTGTGCACTGTTGTCAAAAAGGTCGATTTAAGTCAATTAAAGGTCGAAATGAGTAGTTTTAATGACGGGGTTTCATTTATAACGATGCCAGTTAGTGATTTATGCATTTGTACCCACTAGGGTTTATGTGACCTTCGCCTTCGAAATGTCTTGCTTGCATCCAAAGTACACTGTCGTCAGACTCCCCATTGTTCTCAGTGCCCTTGGTTTACCTCCTGATCTCTTGGCACAGACCAATTGTCCGACAAGTCAATCTGGCGTGGCTGTGATTACAACCTAGTCTTACCCACTGATATAATGAACCTGTCCTATACACTGACGAGATGTTCTCACATTTGTATAGAAATACTTTGACTAGAATACTAATGTTGACAGTTATCTAGAGAAAACTCAAGTTGTTGTTTTTAGAAAAGGTGGACCCTTAGCGAGAATAAGAAATGGTTTTATAAAGGTGAACGTGTTTTTTAAAGTTGATTAATATAGATATCTAGACATCCCACTTTTATCTTCTTGTAAATTCAATAAATGTATATTAGATTTATCATCTCGGGGTAAAAGGACACTTCTAGAAGTACTACACCACGTATATAGATTAGATAATGTTGACTTTTCTGTATTTTTCAAAACATTTGATACCCAAATTTTAACCAATCCTTTTGAATGGTGCCGAAGTATGGGGTATTAATACATTTAACTGCATGTAAGAAGTTCTTAAATGTTGGTCGCCAAACACCAAATGGAATTGTTTATGGTGAATGTGGACGTTACCCAATGGATATAAATGCACAACGGCGTTTCATAAAATACTGGCTTAAGCTTGTAAATATGCATCAACAAAGAATTCCAAAAAAGCTTATGATATGCTAATGTATTACGATATTTGTGGTTATAATAACTATGTTTCATCTGTGTGTAATTTATTGTTTTCGTATGGATTTGGTTATGTCTGGTTATTTCAAGGTGTTGGTAATGAATCCTAGTTTCTTCAAATGTTTAAACAAATTGCAGTTGACATGTATATACAGTCATGGAATAGTACAATTGAAGAAAGTTCAAGGTATAAGCCGTATAGACAATTTAAAAGACTTTTAGGGCCAGACAAATATTTAACTAAGAAACACAGAAATATTCTTACTAGGAACAGAGATTTTGCATGCTTGTTTTTACGATGTTCACTTTGATCAAAACAATATTATAGATTTTGCATGCTTGTTTTTACGATGTTCATTTTGATCAAAACAATATTATAGATTTTGCATGCTTGTTTTTACGATGTTCATTTTGATCAAAACAATATTATAGATTTTGCATGCTTGTTTTTACGATGTTCATTTTGATCAAAACAATATTATAGATTTTGCATGCCTGTTTTTACGATGTTCATTTTGATCAAAACAATATTATAGATTTTGCATGCTTGTTTTTACGATGTTCACTTTGATCAAAACAATATTATTGATTTTGCATGCTTGTTTTTACGATGTTCATTTTGATCAAAACAATATTATAGATTTTGCATGCTTGTTTTTACGATGTTCATTTTGATCAAAACAATATTATAGATTTTGCATGCTTGTTTTTACGATGTTCATTTTGATCAAAACAATATTATAGATTTTGCATGCTTGTTTTTACGATGTTCACTTTGATCAAAACAATATTATAGATTTTGCATGCTTGTTTTTACGATGTTCATTTTGATCAAAACAAATTATAGATTTATGCTTGTTTTACGATGTTCATTTTGATCAAAACAATATTATAGATTTTGCATGCTTGTTTTACGATGATTTTGCATGCGATGTTCATTTTGATCAAAACAATATTATAGATTTTGCATGCTTGTTTTTACGATGTTCATTTTGATCAAAACAATATTATAGATTTTGCATGCTTGTTTTTACGATGTTCATTTTGATCAAAACAATATTATAGATTTTGCATGCTTGTTTTTACGATGTTCATTTTGATCAAAACAATATTATAGATTTTGCATGCTTGTTTTTACGAT